ACAGAATGGTGCCATTAACCTAAAGCCACCCCAGCAGGCCATGAATGGATTCCTTGGGTGAGAGCCCCAGGAAGCTGCATTGCCAGCAGCCTACTACTCACAGGCTTGGGAAAGAAAACTGTAGCGTAGCTTTTTTCCATACTCGAGATATTTCATAAGCGGAAAAAAAAAAAAACTTCTATTCTTCTACTTAGCTGAAGCACAATTATTGGGTGCTTGCCAGAATGTTTCTAAAACCAAGTGTGCAGTACAATCCGGTAGCTTTATTTAACTGCTCTCAATGAAAACAAACTCAGGAATACCAGCCCTCAGTGGAGCTCTAACTGAGCACTGGCCTTGCCAATGTCACTCTCATTTACTACAAATATTCTCAAGTCCAAAATTAAGTCAGCTAAGTTTCAAAATGGTAGTTTTGGGAATATATTTCATGGTCAAGTTTCACTGGGACAACAAAGTAATCTAAAGAATCAGAGGGAATACTATTTACTTGAGTTATAATGCACTATTTGATTTTTTTTATTAGGCAGAAAATAAGAGAGCCTTTCCGTCTGTTGGCTCACTCCCCAAATGCCTTTAACAACAAGGGCTGGACTAGGCCAGGCTGAAACCAAGGGCCATTGAGTCCATCTCGGTCTCCCACATTAATAGCAGGGATTTCAGTACTTGTGTCTTAAGCACAGCATCATGCATCTTTAAATATACAGACTCCAGAGCACCATCATTGACGTAAATTTTTTCCATGTTTAGGCCTTTCTGTAGGTTTAATACATTTTTCTTTTTACAAATACTGATGGCTTTACTCAAATGAAATATCTAATGCCATGTCAACCTAAAAGTAAAAGTTTCAGCAATAATAATTTAAGTCTACATATTTCCTTTTACTTCATATTACTCAAGGGTAGATAGTTTTCAAAATATGTGTTTTCCTTTACCCAAATCAGGGGCTTTAAAAAGACATAGATAGGGCCCGGCGCAGTGGTGCAGTGGTTAAGGTCCTCGCCTTGCATGCCCGGGATCCCATATGGGCGCCGGTTCTATCCTGGCAGCCCCGCTTCCCTTCCAGCTCCCTGCCTGTGGCCCGGGAAAGCAGTCGAGGACGGCCCAAAGCTTTGGGACCCTGCACCCGCGTGGGAGACCCGGAAGAGGCTCCTGGCTTCAGATTGGCATAGCATTGGCCGTTGCACTCACTTGGGGAGTGAATCATCTGACAGAAGATCTTCCTCTCTATCTCTCCTCTCTGTATATCTGCCTTTCCGATAAAAAAATAATAAAAATAAATCTTTAAAAAAAAAGACATAGATACTTTTATATATTGTTGGCAGATATATATCTTGGAATGTATTTGAAAATTCAGTTTTCAAACACCTACACATAACACACATGTTGATGTTACACTTGTATATATACACACATGCAAACATTCATACATAGTTTTGGACAATTTTCTAGCAATTTTTGAATAGAAATATTACAAAATGTTCACAGTTTTTTATAAAGGTGTTCATTGCAATGTATTAGGTCTCTATTGGTGAAAAACACGAGTAACCTAAATATCTATATTTAATAATAAAAAACAATTGAGCCCAATGTGGCAGCCTAGAGACTAAAGTTCTCACCTTACACACACCTGATCTAATCCCAGTGGCCCTGCTTCTCATCCAGCTCCCTGCTTGTGGCCTGGGAAAGCAGTCAAGTGCGACTCATATGGGACCCTGCACCCTTGTGGGAGACCTGCAAGAGGCTCCTGGCTTTGGATCAGCACCGTTCTGGCCATTGCGGCCACTTAGGGAGTAAATCAACAGACAGAAGATCTTCTTCTCTGTCTTTCCTTCTCTCTGTATATCTGACTTTCCAATAAAAATAAAATAAATTAAGAAAATAATAATATAAACAAAATTGAGTAGGGCCTGGCACAGTAGCCTAGTGGTGAAAGTCTTCACCTTGCACATGCCAGGATCCCATATGGCTGGCATTTCGTATCCCAGCAGCCCCACTTCCCACCCAGCTCCCTGTTTGTGGCTTCGAAAAGCAGTAGAGGATGGCCCAAGGCTTTGGGACCCTACACCAGCATGGGAGATCCAGAAAAGGTTCCTGGCTTCTGGCTTCAGATCAGCTTGGCTCCAGCTATTGCAGCCACTTAGAGAGTGAACCAGTGGTGAGAACTTTTCCTCTATCTCCTCCTTTCTGTTTATCTGACTTTCCAGTAAAAAACAAATAAAACCTAAAACACTGAGTATATAGTCATTCAATGGTCTAGTCATCAATTCTTTTGTGGAAGAGCAAAAAATCATGTTAAGCTCTGCAGCTATATTGAAAAAGCATCTTACACAATACTGTACACAGCACACTAAAGGTATGTTTAACTGTGTCCAGAAAAGGTATTGAGAGAATATCCATCTGCATGTTAGCAATGAATTTACTCAACGAATGAACTTATGCATGGATTTTCTCACAATTTTATCAGTTTTACAAGTCTTCTGCACTGAATGCATATAATTGATATGCTTGAAAAACAAAGTAAGTGTTACAGATTTCTTGGTGTACAGTGCCTTTTCATCTAGAAATTCTTGTTTTAGGATAATACTCTAACATAATAAATAGATACACACACGAAGATGAATTATAACTATATTCTCCTCTGGCTTGACTGCAATAATAATAGGAGCAAATTAAAAACCCAACAACATGGCAACAAGTTTTTAAAATGACAGTGCATTCATTCAAGAACGTATCATGCAATCTTTAAAATCAGATTCTCAAAAATATTTAAGAATGAGAGAAAATGCTCATGATACACTATGGCAAAAGGTAGATAGGTGGGGGGCAGACAGACCCAGGACTACTACAACTGTGACTGCTCTAGAAGAATATGTTAACAAGGATTACTACTAGATCCATTTATTAATACTCTGTTGACATTGCCTCCTTGTAATTGCTTATGCTTTCAACAATGTGATTTTTCTTTTTTTATTATTATTTTATTTTATTCTTTTTTCTTTTTTTAATGTATTTTTTATTGGAAAGTCAGATATACAGACAGGAGGAGAGACAGAGAAAGGAAGATCTGTTCACTGATTCACTTCCCAAGTGACCGCAATGGCCAGAGTTGAGCCGATCCAAAGCCTCTTTCAGGTCTCCCATATGGGTGCAGAATTGCAATGCTTTGGGCTGTTCTTGACTGCTTTCCCAGGCCCCAGTAGGGAGCTGGATGTGAAGCAGGGTTGCCAGGATTAGAACCAGCACCCATATAGGATCCCAGGATGTTCAAGGTAAGGACTTTAGCCTCAAGGCTACCACACCGGGACCCAACATAATTTTTCTAAACAGAAAAAGTAAACGATTGATAAGCTTGCTTTATTGCTAACAATATTAAGATAACAGATTACTAGGAGCATGAATCCTCTAAGTATTTTTTTCCAATTTGTCATGTCAACATAAAGACACTAAAAGATTTATTTAAGTTTCTGGGTCTCCCTAAAAAACAACAGAAATGTTTCCACTAAAGTTGTCCCTCACTTTTTTAAATACTTAAAACAGAGAGGAAAAGGATATTCAGGGAGCTGGTCCTAGATTCAAATTTTCAAACAACAGTACTAGGCTTTCTTAATCGTTCACTCCTTCAGAATCTCAGCAGGCAAAGGTCAAAGTAGCTTCAAAGCCATGGACACCTGGGGCATGGTGTACCCTGCCTCCCTGAACCACAGGCTGCCTCCACAGCATGAAGACAAAGGTTTTGACTACAACCAGAATTTTTGTCTTTTACATAGCTCTGGTAATAGCCACTGCTTATTATGAGTTACAATGAAAAAAAAAAGGCGGAGAGCAGGGAAGGGAGGGAGGGAAGGAGGAAGAAAGGAAGGAAAGAAAGAAAAAAAGAAAGGGAAGAAGTTAGGGAGGGAAGGAAGGAAGAAAGAGAAATGAATTTCTTACTTGGAGGACTATAGAGAAAAATATTTCTCTGTTCTTAACTACTTAATACATCTTTCATGGTGCAGAAGTTTGACCATTACGATTGCATATTGCATAATGAGCACAACACTAAAATTCATCCATGGCTGATGCCACTGTGTGAACCCAATGAGTGAGTGTCTCCTGAAAGCACGTGTATAAAACATATTTCTAGCTATAGGAGGCAGGGAAAGGCACAGTCTAGTCTTCCTTCCTCGAGGCAGACCCAGAGACATTTCCCGAGGCCAGCACAGTGGCATAACATATTAATCCTCCACCTGTTAGCTCTGAGATTCTGTATAGACACTGGTTCATATTCCAGCTGCTGTACAATCCAACTTATGGTCTAGGCAAGCAGCAGAGGATGGCGCAAGTCCTTGGGACCCTGCACCTGAATGGAAGAACTGATGGAAGTTCCTGGCTCCTGGCTCCTAGCTTTAGCATTGTAGACATTTGGGGAGTGAACCAGTGGATGTAAGATCTTTGTGTGTCTGTCTTCTCTGTAAACTACTTTTCCAATAAAAGTAAATTAACCCTTTAAAAAAAGACATTTCCCTCATCTCATGTAATTTTTCAGTGTCTTTTCTCCATAAAGATGGATAAAATGATCATTGACATTGATCAGCTTTGTTTCACTTACTCTGCTATCACCGTAAAATTTCAGTTGGAGCAACCCAGCACAGTAGTACTGTAGACTTATTCTCTGCCAGGTAGCGCCAGCATCCTATATGGGCACCAAGCATACCTATTTTTTTTTTTTAGTATCCAAAGTAGTTTATATAAGTGTTAAGTATAGGATGCTGTGCATTTTGGTCTCTCCTGATTCTCATTTTTTACTCTGTGTAACTGGATCATTGCTTTCAAGTCTGTTGCTATACTTGGAAAATACAACAGGGTCAAAACGGTTGCTACCCAGATGATCAGGCTGCGTTGAAACCTGGAGATAAAGATCAGACCCAAGAACTAGTTAAAAGGTGGACAGTAAAAAGAAACAGAAAGCAGATATGTGAGTTTTGGAGAAATAAAGCAAAAAAAAAAAAAATCATCTTTACTTGGTTTGGCCGTTCTCCGTATACGTAGTTCTATAGAACCCCACGAGGGAGCCATTGAGCCAGCCGGCGAACTCCAAGGTCAAGACGTAGTAAGTATTGTCCGTGGTGGCTGAAAGCTGTTGTGCTGCCTCGATCACCAGATATTCGTGGGTTTCATACTTAAAGCACTGCCTGACTTGCACCTGCTCGCCAGAGGACCTCCTCAGCTGCGGCAGCTGGGTGATCCTGGTCTCCCGCAGGTGCAGCCACAGGTGCCGGCTGGGCTGAGTCAGGTTGATGGAGATGTTCACGGTGCCCGTGTATGTGTCCTGCTCCAGCTGGGGCTTCAGCTCCAGGTCATAGTGTACGGGGTTAATGAAGTTCGGCAGCCTGAAATTGTTCCACTCCCCGCTGCCATCTTCACTGGCAGGGCACACCTCCTGGATCGGTGGAGAAACGGAAGGGCTAGCAGACGGAGTTGGGCTAGCAGATGGAGCTGGGCTAGCAGACGGAGTTGGGCTAGAAGACGGAGCTGGGCTAGAAGACGGAGCTGGGCTAGAAGACGGAGCTGGGCTTGTCCCAGAATCAGCCGAGGAGTTACACGGTTTGGTCAGGCCCACGGAAAGTCCTACGATTAGTCCCACAGCCACTATCACGGCACAGATGATGGCCACATGTTTCTTTCCGATGCTGCACATATTACACATCACGTTTGTTTCCGAAGTCAACTGTTCCACATAAGAGAATGTTAAATTTAACTAAGGTCAGCTGATTTCCTTTTTCAAAGAAATTGAAGGAGTCTCCTGGTTTGGCAGCCGTCTTGCGCTTTCCCCACAACTCTCCCTCTTCCCTCTCTCTTTCTGGCTCTTCTCGTTGCTCCCTGCAGGCTCCCGCCAGCTGCTCAGGGAGGAGCAGGGAAACAAAGGGGGTGGGACAAGGGCTCCACCAGAAGAGCTCCGCTGGAGGCAGAGGACTGGCCAGAGACTTGACGCAGCTCCCCTTAATAAACGTCTCCACCCTCACCCCTCCAGCACTGCAGTGAGTTAAATATAAATCAGGGTTGAGCTTATCAGCCAGCCAAGGGGAGGATGTTCTGTGGCCAAAGCTCTGTCAGCAGCTTTCAGAGAGAAAGCCCTTGGGTAAGAGGTGTGCTGGCCAAAGAAAAACTCAACCTTTGCTTCCAGTTCTGATGTCTCTGCTGCATTCACACTCTCGCTGGGCTGCTTAAAAAGACCTCTTGAATTTCAGCTATTTTATCAGGTTGCTGGCCAAAGAGGCTGTTGGGACACTCTCCCTTTTTCCTCTTGTTATGTAAACATTCCAGTTCTGCCCTCTGGGGAGAGGTGAGATCCTTAAGCTGGGTGTTTGGGAGTGAAAGAGGACTGCTTAGGGACTCCCCCGTCGGCATCTGTTGAATTCGGAAAACAAAGCCAGAGGTCCCTAAGTCAATTCCAGGACTGCAGGAGGAAAGACTGAGAGGGGAGGCTGAAGAGTGTGGGAAAAAAGAAGAAAAGAGAGAGACAGCAACAGCCAGAAGGGGAAAGACGTGAAAGGGCGGGGATAAGGAAGATGCCCTGCTTTACTCTAAGTCTCCTAGTGAGACTAATTTCCAAAGACTTATGGGATATCTATCAGATCTGAACCTATTCCAGATGCAACAATTGGCCTGTTAAGAGCCCCATTATAATAAAATTACATCGTAATATGATGTGATTGGCTTATTATATTGCATCTGGATGACAAGGCCGGGGGCAAATCACAATGACCTCCATATTTATGGAGACTTTATCATTTTGTTTCATTGTTTAAAGTGATTTGTTTCTTGAAAGAACAGAGAGACAAAAAGACAAAGACAGGATCGTTCCTCTGTTTACTCCTCAGTTGGCCACACAACCAGATCCGGATTAAGTCAAAGGCAAGAGTAAGGAGTTTCATTCTGGTCTTCTAGGTGCCTGGTAGGCACTGAAGTACTTGGACCATCTTCCACTGCCCTTGCCACATTAACAGGAAGCTGGATCAACGCAGAGAAGCTGGGGCTTCAGTGACTGGTCTTCTGTGCACTGGAGGAGCAGATTCAGGTGTGGAGGTCCTACTGCGATACCTCCAACTGGTTTCATCTCTAGGTAGAGAGGCCATAAAAACCAATCTCCAAGTGGAAACACCAGGAAAACCTTTGCAGCGGCTACTGTGTGCACAGAACTCCACCCAAATTCTAGTCCATTTGTATATTCAGTTAAGGCCCTAATGCTGACCCAATCAAAGGGACCACTGAACCCGGGAATGGCAAGTTTCTCTCCCCACAGTGCATAGCTCTCCCCAGGGGGCTGCCCATGCTCACGTCTGAATGTGCTCTCTCTCTCTCCCCTTGAAGCAGATCCTGCTCCCATTATTGTATTTGGCATCTGTGTTTACAATCTTTATCTCGCACAAAGACAGAAACTTAGAATAAGATAGCTGGGGACCCCACAACATTATGATCCCTATTTCAGACACAGAGAAATTGACACCGAGAAGATGTCATTGCTCAAGGTCGCACAATTGGTAAAGGGCAGAATAGGGGGTTGGTGGAACCCAATTGCCAGAATCAAAATTCGTCACACCTCAAAGTACCCACGGGATCCCTTCTCTGAGGGCAGGAACATCCCAAGGTTAAGTAAAGATGAAAAACTTTATCCGAGTTTCCCAAATCACAGTCCACAGTTATTAATAGATTACACTTGCAGAACAGGCAGGGCTGCGTTAGAGAAACTGGGATCAGTTTTCTTTTTCTGCCCACCATTCTCGCAGCACCTCCAGATGGTGACACACGTTGTAAGGCTCCCAGAAAAGAAATGCTACAGAGTAATTTCCACATTGAGTTGGAGGAAGGACTTTTTTGGGGAGGTATCTTCTGAGGCACTGTGTTCCGTGGAGCTTGTTCTTGGGAGGGGCTGATTTGGACTGGTCTAAATTTAAAATTGAACAAATAAACAGGGGGAAAAATGCTTAAAGCAAAAGGGCCCATTTTATGTTAGATTTCTGTTGTTTTTCTCATAAAATAGTAGTAAACGAATTAAAGAAGAAAGAGAAATGCTTTTCTAAATTATAAGTCCATCTTGTGTTTATTAGTTTTGCATTCTGAAGCAAGCCTAAACATTTTGAGTTCATGGTCCATTAAAATTTGGCAAATCAACTTAGATTTCAGTCACTAAAACCCCCTCCCCCCTTTTTTTTACTGTAAAGATCATCTGAGATGACATTCACTATTTGGTGGCTTAAAAATATTGACATGTTTTTCCCAACAAACTTTGAGTCAAACTTACACCAGCATATAGAAAAAAGGACAATTATTTGGGGGGTTTGGAGCAGTAGCCTAGCAGCTAAAGTTCTCTCCTTACACACTCTGGGATCTGATATGGGTGCCAGTTCTAATCCCAGCAGCCCTACTTCCCATCCGGCTCCCTGTTTGTGGCCTGGGAAAGCAGTCAAAAACGGCCCAAAGCCTTGGGACCCTGAACCTGCGTGGGAGACCTGGAAGAAGCTCTTGGCTCCTGGTTTAGGATTGGCTCAGCTCCTGCTGTTGCAGTCATGTCGGGAGTGAATCAGTGGATGGAAGATCTTTCTGTCTCTCCTCCTCTCTTATATCTGACTTTGCAATAAAAATAAATAAATCTTTTTTTAAACCAAATAAAATTTATTGTGTGTGTGTGTTTTAAAAAAATAATGTAAGTAGGTAATAAAATAAACATTTTTTTTAAGTATTCCATCCTGGGATCTCCATTCTCGAGTTAAGTCAACAGTTCATTCAGGTTACTTCAACACTTCTTCTGGGGTTATGAAGTCTCCATCTTAAAAACTTGCTTCTCCAGCTCAGCTTGCAGCTGATTGGAGAAGTCATCCTCCACACTGTATCATCCCAGTGTCCTCTGAGACATCTGCATCTTCATCTAAACCAGCCCAGTCTTCGGCAGGGAACTCCTCCAACTCTTCTTCCTCAAGGAGACCCAGGTCTGCCGGCTGATTTTTCTTGGACATGGTCACCCGCCAAAAATAAATAAATCTTTAAAACAAATCTATTTAAAAAGAAAATTATTTGGGAAAATGTACATTAATTACGTTACACTGGAAGCATTTTAAAAATTATTTTTATCTTATTTGAAAATCAGATGAAGAGAGAAATTCTTCTATTCACTGACTCACTTCCCAAATTTTGCACCAGCCAAGGTAGAGCCAGGCTGAAGCCAGAATCTCAGTACTCTTTGTGAGTCTCCTATGTAAGCAGCAGGGACTCAAACACTTGAACCATCCACCATTACCTCCCAGGATGCCCATTAGCAGCAGGAGGGCGGGTCTGTAATGGAAGTGCTCAAACCTTGAACCAGGAATGGAGGCTTTGCAAATGACAACTCAAGTGTCATGTCCACCAGAAGCATTTGTTAAAAGTTTATGATGAAACAAAAATGTATGAATGCTCAACCTAAAAAGACAGCATTCTCATCATGAGACCCTATATTTTGACTAGCCTTAGCAAAGAAAATAATAGACCTTTGAAATCAGGTGCTCTTAAGGAGGAATGAGAAGGACCACCTACCAAAAATTCTACCATGAGGAAATCTATTTAAATGCTGTTTTTTGGTGGGGGGGGGAGGGAAAAGTAAAACATTTTAAGCCAAGATATGGTGTGTGTGAGGGGACGGGGGTAACTTTTGCATCTGATGTCCAATGCTAATGTCTCTTATTAGTACCAACCCACGAGAGCTGACTAACCAATGAAGGACTCTACATTTTATCAGGATCAACACATTTGGATTTCCTAATGTGACTGAGATAAGACACACAAGCAGATAAGTGAAAGAAGCAGCCCAGCACGCACACTGAATACATCCAGGACTAACATATGAACGCATTAGCATTCACTAAGACAATGCCTCCAACTTGCAGAATTCATAATGTCCTATTGCTTACTGCCCTTCCTTTCACTGTCACTGAAAGACTGGGTCTGTGGCAGGAGGCTGTTGGCTTCTGAAGCTCTAGTTCCAGATTCAATCCACAGTAGTAATCAGGGCAGCCAGCAGGGGGGACAGGAGGAAAGAGGAAAAAATGGAGAGATCATATTCCCACAAGGAGACCAACAAACCTTCACAGGCACTCACCTCAATTAAACTGGACTTACATTTGCTTACTGTATTTTGAATGAATCTACTTTACATGTAAGTAATCTGAAAGAACCTTTCAAGCCTGATCACTTCACTTTTTTAAAATTGGAAAGTCAAATTTACAAAGCTGGTTCTCCAAGTGACCGCAATGGCCAGAGCTAAACCAATCCGAAGCCAAGAGCCAGGAGCTTCCTCCAGGTCTCCCACATGGGTGCAGAGTCCCAAGGCCTGAAGCCATCCTCAACTGCTTTCCCAAGCCACAGGCAGAGAGCTGGAAGGGAAGTGGAGTCAACAGGATGTGAACTGGTGCCCTATAAGATTCTGGCACATGCAAAGCGAAGACTTTAGCTGCTAAGCTACCGTGTCAGGCCTGGTCATTTCACTTCTTAAGTCCAACTGAGTCAGTGAACAAAATGAATGCACAGACATTAGACGATAAATCCTAAACCACAAGGCACATATAAAAGCTTTTACAATGTGTATCATCATCTTTTATTTCAAGGACGTTCTAAAATCTGTTCTCTTCCGGACACTCAATAAATATGTCTTGATGTCTTATTGAATCCACAATTAAATGGATATATGAAAAATGAAAGAAAAAGAACACCAAGAACCCAGAATGGGCTATGTGACCCCAGATATGTTAGGATAAAATTGAATCAATTCAAGTTCCGTGAAAACCTGCAAAGTTATGCCCTGGAGATTAAGACTTGGAAATCACACCTGATCTCCCATAAAAAATATTGGCTTCTTGACTAATTCCTTCTTACAGCAGGTAAACTGAGGCAAGACAGCCCTTCCAACAGCATATCTAGCGTATGCTTCTGTCTCTATCACCTGCAGTTTCAGGGTGCTGGGAATCACATGTCCCACAGAAACCACAGGCTATTGGCCCACTTGTGCATTAGGAACGTCTCCAAAAATGTCAACAATGTCAAGAATGTCAACCACTCTGTAATTATCTGTCTGGTCCTTCCCTTTATCAGTCTTTTTCAGAGCTCAAGCCCATGGCTCAGCCAAAATAACAAATGCATAAAAACACCCAACTACATGCCCAAGCAAAGAAGGAAGCAGAACCTGCAAATTAGACTGTCTTCGATGAGGCTTCTCGCTGTCTTGCTACAGCCTACATGGAAATTCATAAATTCTCATGGTCAGTCCAGGCATTTCTAACTTTCAAAGGTGTAAAATTGGTAAAGAAGTGCACCATTGCCTTTGGTTTGTTTCTCTGTGAACTCTGGGTCCATATTAGTGTTTATGATCCTTGTCAATTGGTTTGTACTTGTGCCCTATTCATCATCTTTTACTTGGCCCCAGCAACAGTTCTGAAAACTTCATTTAGTTTTAAGACCAAGTCAGGTAGGTGAAACTTTTCTAAGATATAAAAAATAGCTTCAGATGCATGGAGTAGGCTGGGTTTTTTCTTTCTTTCTTTGTTTGTTTTGCATTGAAGTTTATTTTTATTGGAAAGACAGATTTATGGAGAGATGAAAAGATAAAAAGAAGGTGCTTCCATCCACTGGTTCACTCCCCAAATGGCTGCAATGGCTGGAGCTAAGTTAGTTGAAGCCAAGTGCCAGGAACATGTTCCAGGTCTTCCACATGGGTGCAGGATCCCAAAGTTTTTGGGGCATCCTCCTCTGCCTTCCCAGGAAATAAGCAGGAAGCTGGAAAGGAAGTGAAGCAGCCAGAAAAACAACCAGCATCCATATGGGATCCCTGTATTTGCAAAGAAAGAATCAACCAACTGAGTCATTGCATCGGGCCCCCACAGTAGTTTTAAAACAGAAAATATTCTGCATGCCACACTGAGTATCTTGCTTAGTGTTGTCTGTCTCCAATGGTCAGTACACCATGGTAAGGTGCACAGTAAAGAATGCAAAGGAAAGGAAAATAAAGAAGGGGGCATGGCAAAAAGGAAAAAGTAGAAGGCGAAGGAAGATGCCAAAGAACGGTTCCTGGACCACCATTCATTTGTTCAGTCATCAAATTGTTCTAAATTCAGTAAGTACATACTTTTCAACATGTGCTAATTAGGCAGGAGTTCTAGGATAAAGTTTAAGATGTAGCCATTTTAAAAAATAGCAGAGGGGGCCAGGATTGTGGCATGGCAGGTTAAGCCACTGCCCGCAGGGCCAGTATCCCACATAGGACCGGGTTCGTCTCTTAGCTGCTCTACTTCTAATCCAGTTTCCTGCTAGAGCACCTGAGAAAGAGGCCAATATCTGGCCCAAGTGATTAGGCCCCTGCATTCATCTAGGAGACACAGAAGAAGCTCCTGGCTCCTGCCTACATCCTGTCACAGCCCTGGATATTGTGGCCATTTGGGATGTGAACCAGCACATGCAAGAATTCTCTATCTCCACCTCTTTCTCTCTGTAATTTTGTCTTTCACATTAAATAAAATAAATATTTTTTTAAAAGAAAAAGAAACAGTAAAAACTATTCTAGTCATTTATATAAACCACTGATGTGTCCTCGGTACATATGCATTTTGGGAAAAAAAATTTAGAAAAGCAAACATAGTAAAACTGAACGATTTGTTAGTCCCATGATTTTAAATTGCCTTTGTAATGGCATTCCCAAATGTGCAGTAACACACTGGGAGAAAGTGGCTATCTATCAAAACAGCAGAAGAAGACTAACAGTGATAATGTGATCTAGATTTTCATTCTAAGAATTTCCAAATTATTTTTGTGTATTTTCACAGTGCACTAGACAGTATCTCTGTGTTCGGAGGGAGCTTTAAAACTTTTTAAAATGCTTAACTCACTCAACATTTAATTTCAGTCTTTGTAGCGTCAGAATTCTTGGTATTATTTTCTTTTGTATCTGCAGAAATCCGTAAAACTACAGTTGGTAAAGAGAAAGGATTTCACCCAATCTTCTCTCACTTCATAAAGAATGCAAGTGAATTATACCAGCAAAGAGGATTTCAGTTTAAGTTGCTTCATAAAAATCCTAAAAGATCCCTTGTTCATCGCAGGTAACAATATTTCAGAGGAAATGCCTGTAATTCTCCAGTTTTTATTTACTAGCACTAACTGTTTAGTTTGAAATTTTCTTTATGACCCATTAGCTTTGAGCAAATAAAGTTGTCCTCATTTTTTGTTTTCCTTGGCAGAAGAGACCTTCATTGCATTGAAATAATTAGAGTCACCACAGGAATAAGAGGGACATTGCTTCTCTTCTCAGTGCTCCTGGTTTGCATCTGCTCTGCTTCCAGTTTATCCTCATTGCAGAATCCTTTCTTACAGAATTCAGAGCAATGTCTCTCTGTTTCCTCAAGAAGGCTACATTCTCATGCTTGAAACCTGTGAGTGATAACTTACATAATTTAATAATAATAATAAAATGTTTATAGATGTGATTGAGTTAAATTCTTGAGATCGGTGATTGCCTTGGATCATTGAAGCAGGTGCTAATAGAATATATGTTCTGGTCAGAGGGAGACAGAGACACACTTTACGCTCAGAGGCGATGTGGAGACACAGCAGAGAGGGATTTGAAGACGTTGATCTCAAAGTTTGAAATGATGCAGCCACAGCTGTCCTCCATCCCAGTGTACAAAGGCGTTTGAGAGGCTTGGTGTGGCTTCTCCCACTATCCTCCCTCTTCCCCCAGACACAGGAAGGAAAAAAAGAGAACGTGGAAATAATAGGCTCACCCACCTTCCTACAGCCCTTACCCTTACTAACCTACTCAACTATGTAAAAATCATCAAAAGTAAAAATAATAATAAAAAAAAGAAATGATGTAGCCACAAGCCAGGAAGTGCTGGTAACCATCAAAAGCTGGAAGAGGCGAGGAACACCCACACCCAGAGGGAGTGTGGGACTTCAGATATCTTGACTTAGGACTCAGAGATACTCTTTTGGG